CCCCAAGGCCAAGTTTCTCTATCTGTGGATAAGAAGCAGGTAGAGCTAACTCTCTGCATTTTTAGGCTAACGTAGTTTTCCGACTGTCCTGTTTGTTTATTTAACATTTGTTAGAAAATAATGACCTCTACTTTTTATATTCCAAATGCTAAAATACATTCCATTTAGAGTTAAGATTTAGATATGAAAAGTTACAATATGTAATTAGAAGAAAATATATTTTTTAAAAAAACTTATATAAGCTTGTATAAGAAAGGCGGCTTAGCGGTTAGAGCGTTGACCTGCTGTCCAGAGAGACCCGGGGTTTGGTTCCCGCTAAGGGCGTGTACCTCAGTTGCAGTTTGTCCCGGCCCGGGTTGGCCCTGTGGGTGGCAGCCACTCAATGTGTCCCTTTCACGTCAATGTTTCTCTCTTCCTCTCTCCCTCCCACTCTATCGAAACAAAAAATGGAAAAAAAGAACTTCCGGTCAAGATGGCGGTGTAGGTAAACGCGGTATTGTGTCCTCCCACAACCACATCAAAGTTACAACTAAACTACAGAAGAATCATCATTCAAAACCGCCTGAAATCAAGCTGAATGGAAGTCCTACAACTACGGAATTAAAGAAGCAGCCACATCGAGACAGGTAGGAGGGGCGGAGGCAGACAGGCTGGTCCCACACCCACCTGTGGTGGATAAAAATCAGGAGGACACTGCCCTGGCCGGTTTGGCTCAGCGGTTAGAGCGTCGGCCTGCGGTACAGAGAGACCCGGGTTCGGTTCCTGCTAAGGGCACGTACCTCGGTTGCAGTTTGTCCCCGGCCCTGGTTGGTCGTGCGGGTGGCAGCCACTCGATGTGTCCCTTCACATCGATGTTTCTCTCTCTCTCTCTTCCTCTCTCTCCCTCCCGCTCTGTCTGAACAAAAAATGGGAAAATGTCCTCGGGTGAGGATAAAAAAAAAAAAAAAAAATCAGGAGGACACTTCGGCAGGGAAGGTCCTCCCTGAGGACTGAGGGGTCCCCGTCCCACACCAGGTGCCTGGCTCAGGTTTCCAGTGCCATAAGAGAAGTCCCCATAACTTCTGGCTGGAAAAACCAGCAGGAACTGAGGCTCAGGGAAGCTGAAGCTGCTGGAACCCCAGGCAGCTCCTTAAAGGGCCCTCACAGAGACTTAAAGGACTCACTCCCTCTAAGCTCGGAGGGAAGGCAGCTCTAGGGGCACCAGAGACACACAGGGAAGAACTGAGCTATTTGGCACTGGAGCGAGGGCTGGAGAGGGGGCTTTCTCCGGGACAAACGTGCTGTCAGAGGCCTTTGTTCCTTTGGTGAGCCCTTCCCTGGGGCGGCAGACAGTCGCCATATCAGGGACTCCAGCAACCTGGCTCACACTGGTAGCCCCGCCCTGCTGACTCCCTGAGGCCTCGCCCCACCCAACTTTCAGGCCCACCCAAGCTGTTGCCAGTTGCTGAACCTTAGGATTGGCCTGTCTTAGATCCTGCTTCAGGTTTTTCCTAAATTCTTTCAAACAAGCAGCGTCTGGTCTCAGCTAGCCCCATACCGCTCGTTAAGTAATACACAGAAACAAACACAGGGAGGCAGCCAAAATGAGGAGACAAAGAAACAGGTCTCAAATGGAAGAACAGAATAAAACCCCAAGAAGAGAACTAAGCGAAATGGAGATAAGCAATCTAACAGATGCTGAGTTCAAAATACTGCTTATAAGGATGCTCAATGAACTTAGTGAGAACCTCAGTGAACTTAGTGAGGACCTCAAGAGCATAACAAAGGACTCTGTCAGAAATAATGGATGCACAGTCAGAAATGAAGGTGGCATTAACTGAAATAAAGAATAATTTACACAGATTCAATAGTAGAGTATGTAAATCCAAGAAGCAAACCATCGATTTGGAATATAAGAAAGCAAAAAACGCCCAATCAGAACAGCAAAAAGAAAAAAGAATCCAAAAAAATGAGGATAGTGTAAGGAGCCTCTGGGACAACTTCACGCGTGCCAACATTCGCATCTTGGGGGTGCCAGAAGGAGAAGAGCGAGAACAAGAAATTGAAAAACTGTTTCAAACAATAATGGCAGAAAACTTTCCTAACTTGGTGAAGGAAACAGACATCCAAGTCCAGGAAGCACAGAGAGTCCCAAATAAGATGAACCCCAAGAGGCCCACACCAAGACACATCATCAGCAAAATGCAAAAGGTTCAAGACAAAGAGAGAATCTTAAAAGCAGCAAGAGAAAAGCAGTTAGTTACCTACAAGGGTTTCCCATCAGGCTGTCAGCTGATTTCTCAAAAGAAACTTTGCAGGCCAGAAGGGAGTGGCAAGAAATATTCAGAGTGATGAAAAGCAAGAACCTTCAACCAAGATTACGCTATCCTGCAAAGCTGTCATTTAGAATCGATGGCAATATAAAGAGTTTCCAAGAAAAGAAAAGTTAAAGGAATTCATTACCACCAAACCGTTATTATATGAAATGATGAGGGGTCTTTTTGAAGAAAAAGATAAAATATATGAAGAAACAAAATGGTAATGAATGCATATCTATCAACAATGGAATCTACAAACAAAATGAACAGGCAGAACAGAATCATTCTCATAGATACAGAGAACATTTTGTTGGTTGCCAGATGGGAGGGGGGTTGGGGGAATGGGTGAAAAAGGTGAGGGGATTAAGAAGTACAAATTCATTGCTACACTGACAAACCTCAAAGGGAAAGGGGTTGTGGGGTGGGAAGAAATAAACCAAAGAACTTATATGAATAACCAATGGACACAGACAATAGTGTGGGAAAAGGTGGGAGGTGGGGGGGAGTGGGGAGGAGGGGGGTCAATGGGGGAAAAATGAGGAACATCTGTAATACATTCTACATTCAACAATAAAGATTTAAAAAAAAAAAAGAAAGGCAACTTATATACATATCAGAAAAGTAAAGGCAACCCAGGAAAGTCAGAAGCCTAAATTTAAAAAGATAGACCTATATGACTACACAAAAGGACAAACAACGACAATGGAAAAGGCACAAAAGCCATAATAAAAATCATGACTGCTAAAAATATCTGCAACACATATGACAGGCAAAGAGTTAATGTCATTATAAACTGGTAGGAAAAAGACAAGCAAACAAAGATCACGGGGGCAAAGAATAGGCATTTCACAGGGGAGGAATCCAAGTAGCCAACAAATATATGAAAATATATTTGGAAATATACATATAAGAATATATCAGGAATAGAAAATTTTAAATAACTATCGAACAGCATCCTGTGCTAGAAAAAAAACTGTAGAAATTTATAGTATGTGTGTGATGTGTGCGTGTGACTATAACCTTTTTGAATAATAAGCCAGCAACATCTATAGAATTTTATTTTATTTATTTTTATTTTTGTTAATCCTCACCCAAGGATATTTTTCCCATTGATGTTTAGAGAGAGTAGAAGGGAGGGAGAGAGTGAGGGGAACATTGATGTGAGAGAGACTCATTGACTGGTCGCATCCCATATGCGCCCAGTCTGGGCTAGAGATCGAATGTGCCCTCAACTGGGAATCGAACCCAAGATCCTTTGGTGCACTGGCCAATGCTCTATCCAATGAGCCATACTGGCCAGGGCTAGAATTTTAAATATTAAGTAGTAAAATACAAATAAACAGCTCAGCTGGTGTGGCTCAGTGAATCAAGCGACCGTCCATGGACTGACAAATCCCAATTCAAATACTGGTCAGGGCACTTGCTCAGGTTGCAGGCTGGATCCCCAGTCAGGGGCGTACAGGAGGCAGCTGATCAATGTTTCTCTCTCACATCAATGTTTCTATCTCTCTCTCCCTTCCTCTCTCTCTTAAAAAATCAATAAAAACACATTTTAAAAATACAAGTAAACATGCATTTTATCTTCTAATTTTATACTTAAAAAAATTTAAATCTATAGAAAAGTTGCAAGAATAGCACAATGAACAACTGTATATCTTTGACCTGGTCACCAATTTTTAACATTTTATTCTATTTACTTCCTCTTTCTCCATCTCAATATATAATATGCAAATACTTTTTATTTTAAAGAATAAAAAATGTGCCCGGCTGGTGTGGCTCAGTGGTTGAGCATCGACCCATGCACCAAGAGGGTGCTGGTTCAATTCCCAGTCAGGGCACATGCCCAGGTTGTGGGCCCGATCGCCAGTGAGGGACATACAGGAGGCGGCCAATCGATGTCTCTCATTGATGTTTCTATCTCTCTCTTCTTCTCCCTTCCTCTCTCTAAAAATCAATAAAGAAAAAAATAAAAAAATGTTTAAATAAAAATATTTTAAACGTAAGATCTGGATATATCAATGTCAAATAAAAAATTAAATAGAATCAAGCTGTGTGCTCTGGATAAAACAAATGCATCAAGACATGTGGTTCTATTTTGGCAATGGCAACAAACCCTGTTAAGGCAGGGAATTTGCCTTATTCATAACTGTATCTCCAGTGCCTAGAACACTGCCTGGTATGTGGGAGGCTCTTAGTAAATATATATATACACATACACACACACACACACACATCTCCTCACCCGAGGACATTTTATCTTAACCCGAGGACATCTTTCCACTTTTTGTTCAGATAGAGTGGGAGGGAGAGAGAGAGAGAGACATTGACATGAAAGGGACACATTGAGTGGTTGCCACCCGCACGACCCAACCAGGGCCTGGGACAAACTGCAACCGAGATACATGCCCCTAGCGGGAACCGAACCCGGATCTCTCTGGACCGCAGGTTGACGCTCAAACTGCTGAGCCAAACTGGCCAGGGCAGTAAATATTTCTTGAATGAGTGAGTGAGTGACTTGACTGAATGAATAAATATGAAATTATTTGCATTCTTATATCAACCCTGTGTTTTCCACTCAGTTGAATATCCAGCTCAGGTGTCTCTATCATAGCTGAATAGAATTTTATTTATAAAAATGTTCTGAAGTAAAAACTATGAATTCCTACATGATAGTTTGTGCTTATCAAAAATAGTAATTGTTGTGCTTGATTTGGCCACTCATATACTAAAATAGGAATGATACAGAGAGATTAGCATGGCCCCTGTGCAAGAATGACACACAAATTCATGAAGCATTCCTTTTTTTTTGTTTGTTTTGTTTTGGTTTTTTTTATCCTCACCCGAGAACATTTTTCCATTTTTTATTCAGACAGAGTGGGAGGGAGAGAGAGGAAGAGAGAGAGAGAGAAACATCGACGCGAAAGGGACACATCAAGTGACTGCCACCCGCACGACCCAATCAGGGCCGGGGACAAACTGTAACTGAGGTACATGCCCTTAGCAGGAACCGAACCCGGGTCTCTCTGGACTGCAGGCCAACGCTCTAACCACTGAGCCAAACTGGCCAGGGCAGAAAACATAATTGTTATAAGTGTGTTCATTCATCATTTATTTAGTCATCCCTCATTCCCCAACATTTACTGAGCATAGTTCCATTCCCAACAAGATATTTGCTATGCCCCTGAATTAAAACAACGAAAGACACAGCAGTGAGGTAGGTCAGCGAACAATTAAACAAAGAACTAAGATGCTGTGATGGATTTAACATAACTAGAAGGTATTATGACACAGAGGTTGAGAAACTAAACTAGCTTGGTCAATCAAGGAGAGCTACTTTAGGAAGGTAATATTTATGTTGCTTTTTAAGGATGAGTAGGAATTAGGCAGATGAATGGCATTCCAGTCGGAGGAAGCAGCATTCATTCATTTATACATTCATTCCAACATTTACGATGCTTATTGTGTACCAGTCCATAGGCTCTGGAGATGTAGCAGTGAACAAGACAGAAAAGTCTGTGCACTTCTGTGGATAACAAACAAGTAAACAAAAAAAAGTGTAAATGACAAGAAGGATAAGGGATGAGTGAGAGGGTCTGGGGTGGTGTGTGCATTTTAGATAAGATGATTAAGGAAAAGACTATCAAAGGAGATGACATTTGAGCAGAAACTTGGGTGAAGTAAGGGAGGAACTGTGGAAGGAAGAATAAGTGCAAAGGCCCTGAGGTGACCAGTGAAGCTAGAACTTGAGTGAGTGAGTGGGAGAGACTGCAGCAGGAGTTAAAATCAAAGAGATATGCAGTGGGAGATCACATAGAGCCTAGCACTCAGCAGCATGTGACTTTGATGAGATCATCAAGGAAATGAGGATGGGGTTAGAAGAGAGGTCTTAGAAGTGAGCTGGGAAATACCAATATTTAGAGGTCTGGAAAAATATAAAGATCCAGAAAAGGAAATGAAATAGGAAGAAAACTAGGCATAAATAATGTTCTAGAAGTCTGGTGGGTAAGTGTTTTATTTATTTATTTATGTATGTATGTATGTATGTATTTATTTATTTAAGGGGGGAAGAGAGAAAGAGAAACATCGATGTGAGAGAGACACATTGAGTAGTTGCTACCCACATGACCCCAACTGGGGCGGGGACAAACTGCAACCGAGGTACGTGCCCTTAGCAGGAACCAAACCCAGGACTCTCTGGTCCGCAGGTCGATGCTCTAACTGCTGAGCCAAACTGGCCAGGGCAAGTGTTTTAAAATTAAAAAATGATTTATTGTGCCAAAATGTAAGAAGTGAGAAAGCCTAAATATTACTCAGGGAGCAAACAGGGTAGAGGGAGTAGAATCTGAGTAGAGTGATGGCAGGAGAGGGTGGTCACAAAGCAACTTTTTCAGTCATATAACTTGACGATAATACTGACATGAAGGCCCTGAACAGTTTTGCTCAGTGGTTAGAGCGTCAGCCTGCGGTCCAGAGACACCTGTGTTTGGTTCCCGCTAAGGGCACATATCTCGGTTGCAGTTTGTCCCCGGCCCTGGTTGGCTCGTGTGGGTGGCCGCCACTCGATGTGTCCCTTTCACGTCGATGTTTCTCTCTCTCCCTCCCACTCTATCTGAACAAAAAAATGTCCTCGGGTGAGGATAAAAAAAAAAACAAACTGACATGAAGTTTTAAACATAAAGCCAGGCAAATGTAGAGCATTTTATCGTTTTAAAATTACTTTCACATACACTGTCTCAGTTGTCCCTCTAAGCCAGTGATTTTCAACCAATGTACCACAAGACAATTTTAAATTAATTAATTTTTAATTGAATTTATTGAGGTTATGTTGGTTAATAAAATTATATGGGATTCAAGGATACAATTCTACCGCAAAAAAATGTTAAAATATATAGTACCTGACTATTTAGTCAGGGGTACTGACCTCTTTTCCCTTAGATTGTCAAATTTTTAAATAAATGACAACAGCCAACACAAGAGCCATTGTGATGAATGAATCCAAATTATACCTTTTTTTTTTTGTCAGATTGCCATAAAATATATTTTTTGGTGTGTCACAGAATTTTAGTAATTAGTTTATATGTGCCATGGGATGGATGAGTTGAAAATTGCTGCTGTAAGCAATCCGATGAAGGACAAGCCTTTATTCATAGAAGAGAAATCTGGGGCTCAAAGGTGAGGTCATGACTGTTTAAAAGACACACATTGACCAATGACACAGTTAGGTCACCCTATCTCTGACTCCACCTCCAGTGCTCTTTCTGCTACCTCTGCTGCTTCGTCCTAATGTATGGGTAACCTTCACAGTAGGCATAAACCTGATAAAGATCTTATTATTCTGTCCCTTTTTTCCCCTCATACAAGTTTGCTTTAAAAAAAAACTCCACAGTTAAGAAATCAACCCATGGTCATGCGGGTGGCAGCCACTCGATGTGTCCCTTCACGTCGATGTTTCTCTCTCTCCTTCCTCTCTCTCCTTCCCACTCTATCTGTACAAAAAAATGGAAAAAAATCCTCGGGTGAGGATAAAAAAAAAAAAAAAAAAGAAATCAACCCATAAGCTTTCTGATATAGGTAAAAAATGAAGGAGATGAATCTGTCACCTTGAAGCTTTTATTCATAGGAAATAACTCGGATCAAAACCTAACAGATTCAGCACCTGAAGCTTTCTGTCTCCTTGATGTGATAAAGGTTCAGGCATTTTTTAAATGGGTCTTTTATAATTTATTTTACTGAGTTACTGAATGTTTTAGCAGTCAGATACTGTTTTTAGAGACTTAAAAAACATGAAGTCGATGTTCAAAAATATTTAATATATTAAAATATTCCATCCCACAACTGAATAAATGTACTAAATATCCTTTTCATTTCAAATTTCAACTAATGTTCAAACCCACATCTGAGTTACTTAACAAAACTATGAGTATGTTACTGATGGGTTGGAGCTACTATTCCAGCTTTGTAAAGGATGTGCTACATATTCTCATGGAAAAAAACGGAGTGGCAGGGCTATGTAATGAATATGTGTAGAAAACAAAAGTTGTTGATAAATAGACGTTAAGTTTACGCCCTGGCCGGTTTGGCTCAGCGGTTAGAGCGTCGGCCTGCAGTCCTGAGAGACCCGGGTTCGGTTCCCGCTAAGGGCACATACCTCGGTTGCAGTTTGTCCCCGGCCCTGGTCGGTTGTGCGGGTGGCAGCCACTCGATGTGTTCCTTTCACATCGGTGTTTCTCTCTCTCCCTCCCACTCTACCTGAACAAAAAATGGAAAATATGTCCTCGGGATAAAAAAAAAAAAAAGTAGCCCTGGCCGGTTTGCTCAGCGGTTAGAGCGTCCGCCTGCGGTCCAAAGAGACCCGGGTTCGGTTCCCGCTAAGGGCATGTACCTTGGTTGCAGTTTGTCCCCAGCCCTGGTTGGTCGTGCGGGTGGCAGCCACTCGATGTGTCCCTTTCACATCGATGTTTCCCTCTCTCTCTCTTCCTCTCTCTCCCTCCCACTCTGTCTGTGCAAAAAATGGAAAAGTATCCTCGAATGAGGATAAAAAAAAAAAAAAAAAGTTTTCTAGAATAGTTTTTATATATAGTTTATATAATAGTGTAAGTTTATTAGCCCATTCCTTTTTTTTTTTTTTTTTCATCCTCACCTGAGGATATTTTTCTATTTATCTTCAAATAGAGTGGGAGGGCAGGAGAGGGAGAAACATCAACGTGAGAGGGACAGATCGACTGGTTGCTGCCTGCACGACCCTGACCAAGGCCGGGGAAGAACTGCAACCAAGGTATGTGCCCTTGGCCAGAATCAAACACGGGACTCTTTGGTCCGTGGGCTGACGCCAACGCTCTGACCACTGAGCAAAACCAGCCAGGGCTTCTTTTGAATATTTTTATATCATATATCTAATACATGTTTTGTTGTACTAGCTAGAATTTCTAACATGATATTATAGGAAAATGACTGCAACTTACATCATAAGCAGAAGTTAATTTTCCTTATACAGAAAAAGTTCTGACCAAACACAGAGGAAAAGAACAAGAGAAAAATGAACAAAGAATGTGAATGAACAGTTCAGAAAGAAGGAAATACAAACTGTTAAACATTTAAAAAATGTTAAGCCTTACTTATAATGAGAAAAATGCTGTGGTGCTATTTTTCAACCCTTAGACTGGCAAATAACCAGGAGTTTGTTAACACTGTGTGTTGTGAGTCTGTGGGAAAATAGGTGCTTCATTTACTGCTGGTGGGAATGTAAATTGATTTAATCCCTATAGAGGGCAATTTGGCAATATCTATCAAAATAATAAATGCATATACCCTTTGACCCAGCAATACCAATCTTTGGAATTTATCCTTGGGATATACTTGCACACGTGTTAATTGAACCATGTACAAGATTATTCATTGCAGCATTGTTTGTGATAGCAAAAAAAGAAAAATGTATATATATGGAAACAATCCAAATGTCTATTAATAAAGAACTGGTTAAATAAATTGTCATATATCCATAAAATGGAATACTATGCTGCCAAGAAAGAATGATGAGCTAATGATACAGAAATATCTTCAAGATATAGATTACTAACAAAAAGACAAGGTGCAGAACAGTATATATGGTATGGGTACACTACCTTTTGTGGGGAAAAAAGGGGCAAAATAAGAATGTACGTTTTTATTTGTATATTGGTAAGGAAATTCGGGAATAATGCATAAAGTACTTATAACAGGGATTACCTATGGTAGTCTGGGTGTGAGCCAAGGGAGATAGGAGTGGGAAAATGTAACTGAATCTGCTTTTTATTCTAAATGGTTGAAC